TAGGGTTTAGGGTTTAGGGTTTTTGCTGTCCTGCAGGGGGTTCAAGAGCTGTCGACTCGCCCGGGCTAGGGGGTTTGGGGGCTTAGGTGGTTTAGGGTTTAGGGGCTTCGGGGGTTTAGGGGTCCGGGTTTAGGGTTTAAGGGTTTCGACGCTCACTCCCGCACGAAGCAGGTAAGTTTTAGGGTTCAGGGTTCAGGGTCCAGTCAGTGTTTTTAGGGGCTTTCCGGGTTTGGGGTACTTAGACTACAAAGGACTTGATGGTAGCTACTTGTCTTTGGGTCCAGGACGTCCCCCATCAGATGTGCCTCAATGGAGACTTTTGTCCTAGCGAAATGTCTCCTGCTTTGATGGCTTAAGCCTTAACCCTCTGGCTTAGGGGTTGGGGTTTAGCAACTCTTGCCGGATGCTGGAAGGTGCATCTGCGCATCTCCCCACATTTCAGGAACGCAGTCTTGCTACTATCTATATATTTTCAATCTGTCTATCTATAATATCTCTCTCTCTCTCTCTCGCAGACTCGGGAATCCGTCAGCTGCCGTCTGCAGCCCGATAGGCAATGCTCTCTGAGCAACGCCCCACCGCCCATGTTAAGCGGTGCAATCTATCTATAATATCTATATACATTAAATGTGTCATACATATTCGAGGCACTCCACACCGGCATTCGGGATGAGGGCCCCTCGAATGCGACATGCCGGGCTCATGCCCTTCGATACGTCTGATGTGTCGGTTTCCAAATGAACAAAAGGCGCCCTGCTCGGTTTTTAACATGGGCCTTTGTGGGTTCCCCCTTATACTAACAGTAATTAATTATCAGGGACTCGAATACGGCCTTATTATATAATCCCTTTAGGGAGGGGATGGGTGTGCGTGTGTGTCTGTTGGTGTGCTTTGTGTGAGTCATAGGGTTTAGGGTTTAGGGTTTAGGGCTTACGTGGAGATTCATGGGTACTTATAGAGAGCGGCCTGTCACGGGGCCTGCGTTTTCCATGGGCATGTTTTGCGAATGTTGCGAGCACCCAGCATAGAAGTCGCGATCTTTTTGTCGAAGTACCCCTTAGTTTAAGGGGGAATATCCCAAGGGCTTATAGGTGACCATAACCCAGAAAAGAGAAATAAAAGGTACTACTGGGCATCCTAGACGGGTTCATGCCCTTCAACAACCGGCAACCTCCGCAACTTCAGATCACTTTGTAGCCTCATGCGCAACCGATGTTTGCATAGCTTTGCCTCTCAAACAATGACATCGCTGCTCAGCGATACTTGTCTGGTGCAATGAGAGACTGTCACCCCAGTGCGCGCATCTGGGTGGGGAAACAAGTTTGACGGTAACCATCATGTCATGCCAGCTTTGTTGCCCCAGGGTCTAGTAGAAAGGCATCGCGATGGCACCCAAACCCTCAACCCTGAACCCTAAACCAACCCTGACATGTATACACGTATATATATATATACACGTATATGTATATATATATATATATATATGTCCTGCTTGCTTCGTTTCACCGCGAAGGCATCGGCTTTCTTCTGTCGGACCATTCCATTGCCATCGAGGAACAGTCCAGCCATGCCTTTTTCTATTAAGTGGTATAAGGAGTGACCCCTGGAAGGGACCTAAATTTGTCCCCCTATATTTACCTTACATAGTCCTTATATACCGAGGCAGCCCCGACATAACCCCAAATAACCCCTAAGGTCCCTTGTAAGGGTACCTGCTTTAGTCTCTTGATTAGAAGCAAAGAGGCTCTGCCACCCTTAGCCCCGAGCAAAGAGTGCTTCACAAGTTCGACACACCTCTACAGGACCCTCAAACCCTAAACCCTAAACCCTAAACCCTAGACATGTTTGGAACAAACGAACTGCAACCAAAGCCGGAAGGTCCACAAGCCTTGGGATCCTCAACGTAGAGTGAAGTCCCCAAACCCCTAACCCTAAACCCTAAACCCTAAACCCTAAACCCTAAACCCTAAACCCTAAACCCTAAACCCTAAACCCTAAACCCTAACCCTAAACCCTAAACCCTAAACCCTAAACCCTTAAACCCTAACAACCCAAACCCCGCCACCGAGCCAAAGCGCTCTCCGGGGCCATGGTCATCCATTCCTCCCGCCCGGAGCGGATTGGGTCGACCTGATCTGGTAGGGCTGAGGTTTGCGTGTTTAGGGTTGAGGGATTAAGCTGTTTAGGCCAGGCTTAGGGTTCAGAGTTTAGGGTTTAGGGTTCAGGGTTTCGGTCCGTTTATCCTCTATATAGTACGGCAGCGTTAAAGTAAGGACCCCCAAACGGGACCCTAATTTGTAGAACTACCCACATATAGACAGACAGGCAGACAGACTGACTGACAGATAGATAGATAGACATAGGATGATAGGGTGCAGCGCTATTCTCCAAGGGCCTTTTCCCGCAGCCCCTTAGTCTTGTTGCTTGCCAACCCCCTATCTGAGTTGAGCCACACTCCGTGCAAGTGCAACTGCCAACAGGGTAACAGTACCACCAGCCTTTTCAGTCACAGAACCCTTCAGTCACAGAACCCTCAGCGTAAACCCCTAAACCCTAAACCCCAAACCCCAAACCCTAAACCCTAAACCCTAAACCCTAAACCCTAAACCCTAAACCCCAAACCCTAAACCCTACTGACTTGGCAATTCAGAAGAACATGCCTCCAAGGGACGTACTTGAGGTCCACCCCTTGCCGCTCTTCACCTTCGCCCCGCGGTCCCGTTTCGACCTTTTTCGGTGCTGGATGCTTGGTTAGGGTTTAGGGTTTAGGGTTTAGGGTTTAGGGTTTAGGGTTTAGGGTTTAGGGTTTAGGGTTTAGGGTTTAGGGTTTAGGGTTTAGGGTCACAAGGGGGGTATATAACCCACTCCCTAAGGCTCCCTAAGCTTTCCTACGGACCCCCATATGTGTGGAGATCTTCAGTGGAGAAGGAGGATGACAGAAGGGGAAGTCATGGAATTACTACGTGGAATTGTGACAAGGGCTTTGAGAAAGTCACAGCAAACAAGAATAGCTGTTCGGGAAAAGTTTCATTCAGAAGCAAACGAATATGTCAAGGACGTGACAAGGCATTCTTCTGATGCTGCAAGAGTTTTTCAAAAGCAACAGGTATTCATATTGCAACAATGGCAAAAAGCCATTTTAACAACAGTGAAGCTCACCCACTTGTTGCTCCTACTGCTACAACCTTTCGGCTCTGTACGGAACGGAGAACAAGCTAGACCAACTAAGTTTAGAATGCGTTTTGATATTATATCGTAATAGCCACACAAGGAAATACAGATCATGCATGTTTCGTACATTTTCGATGCTTTACATTTAGGCTGAAGATACCAGATGGTACAATTGCATTGTCACGACCTTACTATCTCCTTGGTAGTTGAAAATGTCAAGAAACTATGAAGAAGAACAAGTCGTGGTTACATTTTCAGCCTTCATGTAAGCATGATACACTTGATTCAGTATCCGCCGTAAACGAAAATAAAACTTTCTTGAAACATGCGAAGAAAGTGCATTCAAGATTTAAATTGAGGTGTATGACAATACTAACAACACAAAGTTCATGAATTTGGCATATGAAAAATATGTTTGCAATGGCAGGTACTCCGAGAGAGTATTTTGTTGATTGCAATTGAACAAAATGTGTTGAGGTCCTCTTGTGGCGAGAGGCGAGAAGCAACAAAGTCCGAAAAAAACCTAAACCTTAAACCCCAAACCACTAAACCCCTAAACCCCTAAACCCCTAAACCCCTAAACCCCTAAACCCCTAAAACCCTAAACCCCGGAACCCTAAAACCCCCCAACCCTCAACTTTAACCCTTAAACCGTAAACCCTGAACCACTAGCTCTAAACCCTAAACCCTTTAACTTTAACTCTAAAACCCTAAACCCTTAATTAACTTCAACCCGCTCTCTCTCTCTCTCTCTCGTGCGCTCGGAGATCCGACAGGCGCAGCAGCAAACCCCCCCACCCCTTCTTGCATCCCCAAACCCTTGCAGGCCGCTAATCGCCGCCTCCGAGTCGGATCCGCTGTCGGCGCCTACGGCGCCCACCGTGGCGCCCGGGAGTTGCGGGCCTTTCCTGGGTTTTTTGGACTTGGGTTTAGGGTTTAGGGTTTAGGGTTTAGGGTTTAGGGTTTAGGGTTTAGGATTTAGGATTTAGGGTTTAGGGTTTAGGATTGAGTTTGTTTTGGATTTAGGGCTCAGTTACAAATGTTTCGATTTACGCGTGTCGGGTTATCGTTGCGCAGGGGCCGTGCTAGTCTGGGTTTAGGATTTGTAGGGTTTAGGGTCTAGAGGTTAGGATTTACAAGGCTTAGGCCTGATTGTGTGCAGAGTTGACGTGTTCCTTTTTGTTCAGGGTTGTTGCTTTGGAGTCAGGGTCTAGGGCTTGTTGTTTAAGGCAATGCTGCTTTCCCTCCTGTACGGAAGGGCGATCCACATCGCAGGGAGTAGGACCTAGACTGTTAGAGCTTAAAGTGTTTTGTGCTTTGAAGCTTCTCAAAGTGTCCACTTTTATGGAAGTCCCAAAACTTCAGGGTGTTGGGCACCTATAAGGCATGGACCGAAAGCCATCTCTCCATGCTGTTCAGGTTCAGACATTTCGAGTGCCCCACTTCCCAAACCAAAAGTCGAGCCAGAGATTCTCTCAGGCTGCAAGTCTTTTGGTTTTAGGGTTTAGTGTTTGGTGTTTCGGGGTTGGTTGAGCTTTCAAATTTCCGCACCTCTCTGCAACCGTGCTTCGGGCGGGGCTTCACAGGTGATGGCGGATTCTTTTCCTCCTCAGCCTCTCCGGAGAATCCTGGCAACACCCCCCCCCCCCCCCAAAAAAAAAAAAAAAACAGACACCCCGTAGCTCTAAGGAAGATACAACCTTCATTGATGAGTACATGAACAAAAACAAATACCCGCAAAGGTCTTTATAGGTGTATTCCTCAAGCCTTCATGTGAAGTTACGGTGCGTTGGGCCTCCCAGTCGTGGCTCGGGGTTGATTCGACCCATCTAGGCTCTGCTGTGCTTAGGCGGGAAACGAGAAGTTGCGGGAACGATACCTGTGACCTGTACTGGCGGCCGCGGCAGCAGCGCCTGCACGTGGATCGAGTGGTTCTGCTGGAACTTCTTCCGGAATTTCTTCAGTGACCTGCCGGTTAGAGACGGCCGAGATACTGGCACAGATGTGTCAAGAGCAAGCGTGCTGCCGTGCAAGCTAAGACCTCTCAGCTCGAGCCCCCCCAAAAAACCCCTGAATCGAATCGGCCGGCGGCACGGGTATAGCCAGACTCAGATATATGCATTCTGAAGAATAGGGCGTCGCAGAGGGGATCTGATACTCGGCATGGGATTGTGGGGGGGGGGGGGGGGGGCAATTACCCCAAACCCTAAACCCTAAACCCTAAACCCTAAACCCTAACCCCTAAACCCTAAACCCTAAAGACCCTAAACCCTCTGCCTTTTGCTTTGCTTTGGTCCCGTTGGCACCTCGGGGGCTTCCACAGGCTTGGCCGCGAAATGCTCCTTCGCCCTCGCCAGGCATTCGTGGTAGATGCTCTTGAAGGACACCTGGTTCAGGGTCTAGGGGGTTTAGGGGGTTTAGGTTGGTTTAGGGAATTTAGAGCTCAGGGATAGGGGAGTTTAGGGGAGTCTAGGGTCTTTAGGGGGTTTATAGGTTGTATCGGGTTTAGGGAGGCTAGGGCATTTAGGTTTGGGGACGTCGGGGTCCAAGGACTTTTGTTTAGGGAGTTGAGGGTTCGGGGTTGCGAAATGTGCCGGGTGGTCGGCAGGGTGGTTCATTGCAGGTTCAGGGATGCAAATTGCCGGAAATGGGTAGCTTCTTCGGGCACAGCGGCCCACCGACTTGCAAAAAATCATGAGTGATCCATGAATGGAATTCTCGCCGAGTGTTGTGCCCACGGCCGATGAGTAGGTCGTGCAGTGTCTTCGGAAACATGTCAGATCCTCTTCAACATCGCGTTTTATTCATCGTTTTCCCCACCCGGCGTTGCATTTGACAGCGTTTCCTGGCAAAGTGTCGTTGAGATTATTGTCGTGCATTTTTTGGGTAGTTCTTAAGCAAACAGTGGTCATCGTCGCAGGACACAAAGCCCGCCGAAAAACGACGTACACCCCCAAGCCAAACTTCGCCAGCACTGGAGCAGCGAGGATTCTTCCACTCTCCCACCCCACAAAAACTCATGACACTACGCCCTATATAACCCCGGTCAGGGTCGTGAGGGTTTTGTATTTATAGCGATGTATATATAAGGATTTATCTTTAGGGCTTGCGTATGATTCAGGGTGCAACCCCTTTTTTACAACCAGGACTGCCAGCTGCCGGGAAAATGCACCCTAAGACATCAAACCCTCGCAGCCTTGATCTCCGCACTCCGGTAGGCGTTGCCGTTGTCCTCCTTCTCTCAAGGCCGTTTGGGGGTTTAGGGTTTAGGGTTTAAGGAGTTTAGGGCTTAGGGCTTAGGGCTTAGCCTGGGGGGGTTGCGAGACTCAAGAGGCACCTGGGAAGACAAAGGGTGTCCTTTTCGGTCTAGAGGGGCAAATACCAATTCAGCATGGGAACCCAAATGCGAAACTATAACAATGATAACAAGTAACAAGGGGCTACTCTGGGTCCTATCGTTTATAGGGTTCTTAGGGGGGGGGTTCAAGGGGGGCAGGTACCTAGGGAACCTTAGGGAAGCTGGGAGTATTGGGGAACCTTGGGTTGCCTACCCCCCTTGAACTCCCCTCCCTTAAGAGCCCTATATAGTGCATTTGAGTTTTAACCTTTGGCTCTGGAAGACTGGAAGGGGTGCATCACACCCAAACAATGTGAAGAAAGTGGTTCACTATAGGGGTGGAAGGCGACATGGGATGTTCTGGGGTCACGATAGGGGCGATGTGCATGCTTACGTGCATGTTTTGTGCTTAGGGTTCCGTAAACCCTAGAACCCTAAACGCTAAACCCTAAACCCTCAGGGGAGTAGGGACCAAGGGACCGCCAGCAAGGAAGCTAGGCTCCATGGACCTCAGGGCACATTCCCCATCCCTAACATAATGAACCTTGCGTCAAGGCGATCCTTCTTCCTGCACTGCGAGCCCCTAAACCCTAAACCCTAAACCCTAAACCCTAAACCCTAAACCCTAAACCCTAAACCCTAAACCCTAAACCCTAAACCCTAAACACCAAAGCCGCGTCCTGCGTCAGGCGGAAGGCCTGCAACAAATGTCGCAGCTTCTTTCTGGCCTGCCCGGCGGTATCAAACTCTGGCGATGGCTCCAGCCATAGGCGCATGGTTTAGGGGTTTTAGGGTTTAGGGTTTCGGGTTTAGGGTTTAGGGGAACACAGCCCGATGCGTCTCATGCGGAGACTGTGCTTCGTGGAGGCACGCAACAAGCAAATCTAAACACCCCATGAAGGCGTATGAGGCAGGGTTTATGTTACTGTTAGCGGTGAGTGTATATGGGGCTCACCCTAAACCCTAAACCTTGAACCCTAAACCCTAAACCCTGAACCCTAAACCCTAAACCTTTGTTTCATCTAACGCGGCCTGCTTGTTCTGAAGACCATCGAGTCGGACGGTCTCCCCATCGTCGATGTTCTGTGTGTAGGGGAGGGCCCTTATTCCTTTTCTTTCTGGTCTAGGGTTTAGGGTTTAGGGTTCCCTTTACAAGCCCCTTCAAACCAAAAAGGGCACCTTGCACCTGTACCTCAAACAAGAGGGTTAAGGTAAACATCATCAATTCGGAAAACGCTCTCCCTTCTTTCAGTGAAGCCCTAGACCCTAAACTCTAAACCCTTAAACCCTAAACCCTAAACCCTAAACCCTAAACCCTAAACCCTAAACCCTAAACCCTACTCTCTTATCCTACGTGCGGCTTGCGAGGTCCGAGACGACCCCAAAATCACACTGAGTGCCAAAGTCCCTCGGCGCTTGCAGCGTTCTCTAAATTAGGCTCCCCATTTTGGTCCCCCCCCTGTAGAATATGGAGACGGCACACTTATCATAAGGACCAAACCCTAAACCCTTTAACCCTTAACCCTAAACCGTAAACCGTGTTGAAGAGAACTGCGCACATGCCTTCGCAATCTTGTTTCGCGCAAAACCCCCATCTCCGTCCTCGAAGACAGTCTCCAGCTCCTCCTCAACGCTGTCGTCCAGCTGAAGTAGCGACCCTATCCTTACATCCATGAGGCAGCAGGGGGTTTAGGGTTTAGGTTTCTTTTGCTTGAATGAGCTTCCCATCTACCAAGCTTCTGGCTCCGAGCCAGATATAGTTCCCCAAGCAAAGAATCCCCTCACCCACGCCGGACCACATTCTAGGGTTTAGGGTTATCGTGTGTCCGCCCCGCTACGCGTTCGCGGCTTTCAGCTCTTTCTCGCTTGTTTCTACTCAGTAACTTCAGTCTATGCCTAAGCTCTCAAGAACTCCGAAGCCCCAAGAAACTTCCCAAGACCCCAACATTCCCAGCCAAAAACAAGCTCGACTGCCAGAACCCTGCGCTGCACAGTGAAAGGCGCAGGGTGAACCCTTTCGTTTGTTTAACGACTTGCTTGTACTTACTGTTGGTGAGCAGGGAATGAGGGAATTTTTAGTCCCTATATTATACCCTTTAAGGGACTACATGGGTACCTCATTCCCCCATTCCTTGCTAACCAACAGCAAGTTTATACAGGGAGCTCAGATCCCAGCAAGGGGATAGGGGCCCAGTGGGGGTCTTAGGTTGTGCAGTGAGCTGCTGGCGCACCGCGTCGCCGCGCTCACAGTTCCACTCGAGAGCACGTTCTGCCCGCTTCCTTAGCGATGTGCAGGAGGATTTTTGCTTCAATCGCGGGTGTCGAGGTGCTGGTAGGGTTTTGGTTTTGGGTTAGGGCTTGTGGGGTTGAACTTCATGGTGCTCTGAGGCACTGCCACTGCCGCAGACATCCCGGCAGCCTTTCAGAAGGATACACTGGTGCGACCTGAACGGAGGAGAGATGTTTCGGCTGCAGATCCCATGATGCAGTCGAGCATCTTCTCTTTGCCATCGTCTTTCCTTGTGAGCATCTTCTCTTGCTGAGATGACTTGCTGCTATATCAGCTCTGAGGACTGAAGAAGGGGTATCCATTGTTTGCGTACTAGTTTGTAAGGGAACCGAAAAGGAAGTACTTAGAGGTTCATGGTACTTGTTAACCAATTATAACTGTACTTCTAACTGTACATATAACCATAGTAGGGCACTTAAGGGGCTTACAAGTGGGTTTTAAGTACAGATATAATTGGTTGATAAGTACCCTAAAGCCTAAACCCTAAACCCTAAACCACGAGCCTCCACAGATTTTCTAAAGCTTAGCGAATGCCGAGCGGCTTGGTAGCCTTCTTCTCTTTCTTTGCCTTCTTGTCCTTCTTGTCCTTCGAACGCGTCGTCCCAGAAGTATGCAACCCTAAACCCCAAACCCTAAACCCTAAACCCTACACCCTAAACCCTAAACCCTGTCACGTGCACAAGATGGCATTCTTCGCCGCAAGCCAACAGTCCCGTGACTACTCTCGCCTATGCTCATCGAAATTCAAGAGCATTCGCAGGGCATAGGATCAGAACTTTCGTGAAAAGCACAAAGTCTTCTTGGCGGTATCTTTTGCCAGCCTCTCGCGGACCATCACGCTATGAAATGTCAGATGCCCGAAATCTGAAGTCGCAGACAAGGACCTTTTCTACAACCCTTCTAGTCTGAACCATGAATGGCCGTTTCGGGTTTAGGGTTCAGGGGGCTAGAGTTTAGGCCCCTAAACCCTAAACCCTAAACCCTAAGCCCTTAACCCTAAACCCTAAATGTTTCGGAGGCTCCTTCTTGGGTTTCTTATTCTTCTTGGCGCTGTCGCTGTCTGACCCGCTGCCCATCACGGCAAAGCATCGGCTGGACTACCTTAAGACCTTTGCATGTAATATAGGAGGCTTAATAATTAGGGTTTAGGGTTTTGGGGGGTAAAATGTAGGGGCCTGAATAATTAGAATAGGTTTTTGAGGGTTATTTGAGTATAATTACAAGGGGGCCATGTGGGAATCCTATTGCTAATGTAATATAGGGGTCGGAATAAATACTAACATCATTCCCATAATCCCTGTATGAGTTTTCTACAATGACCTCGAACCCTATTCTAATTATTCAGCGGTGTTCTACTCAAAGCCTGTGGTAGGTGATAGCGGAGAAGCATCTTATGTGCAAAAGAACTGGTACCAGCACCAGAGTGGACTTAGGCGCCAGAAGTAGAGCCCAGAGGACACCCCAGCTTGTCGCCTACCCTAAACCGTGGCTTCTGCACCACGACCATGTCGATGATTCGGAAGGTTATCTGCGCTGCAAGCCCAAACGTAGCCAGGACAGGTACGAGGAATCCATGCATGCAGCTAAAAACCAATGCACAAATGGTAATAAGCAGGCTAAGGCGAAGAAATACTTGCACACCCTGTTGCAAACGGGGCAAACCTCTTTGGCCTTCTTGACAATGGAATTGTTCAACCGCATAAACCCCCCAACCCTAAAGTGACATGTTTGCCCGGTCGAGCCACGCCTCGTAGGATTTAGGGTTTAGGGTTTAGGGTCTAGGGGATACGCGAGGGGAATTCATCACAAAACACTGAGATCAACCTGGAAGCTGCGACTTACAGCTGGCCATGCAACTTGTTGAGCCTTAACTCTTGGCTGTTGAAGCCCCGAGTCAAAATACAAAACACGCACACACATACACACATGTATACACGCACACATACATTTACATCTTTTATGAACATATATGTCTTGCATCCAGATATATACACACATGACACATGTACACAGGATCGACATACAAAGGCTCATGGATAGAACGATATACAAACAAATGTGCATGTGCTTATGAAAATTCGCGAACCTGGCACCTAAACCTTGAATGTCGAAACACACGCTTGTTCTACCAGCTCTTACAAGCCCTATTGGCCTGAAGCCTAAAACCCCAAACCTCAAGCTCCCCAAACTCTAAACCCTAATACCCCCACCCCCCCCCCCCCCCCCGGAAGCCTCGATCCGTGATTGTCGGAGCTGCTTGGGGCGCATGATGCTAGTAGACCCCATCTCTGTTGGAAACCTAGGAGGAGGGGGCGGGGGGGGGGTAGGGATTGTAGGGTTTAGGGTTTAGAGCAGCTAGGGTTTAGGGATGTTTAGGGTTTAGGGTTATATATATATAGGGTTTAGGGCGTAGGGTTGGGTTTATAGGGTTTGGGAATTCAGGGTCCTTCGACTGTCGGAACGGTTTTGGGAGGACGCTGAAGGATTTCTTCAAAAATCCGGGTTGCCCTCCACCCAGGACCAGGCTTGCGTCTTAGAGCCTAGGAATATCAAGGAGGTAAGAATCGAAAGGATAAGGCACTTCAATCTTCAAACGTCAGCGGTTCAGAAGGGGAGGCATGGCCGTTAGAGCCAGCCTGAGCCAGCTCCAGCAGACCAAGACGGTCTAAGGCGAATATACTGCCCAGAAACCCAATCTTTATTGACTGGAAGGGTGCTGCGTTTGCAAGAAGCTTGAGGAGTTCAACCCTAAACTCGAAACCCTATAAGGCCTTGGGGGCGGGGGGGGGGGGGGGGGGGGAGGGAGCACTAGGAGTACACCTTGTAGCCTGGCAACGGGAGGGCCATCGTCACGCCGATCACTGTCGACGGCATGGCGGTGGTTGCAGCGGCCTCGAAACGCGATTTCGGGGCCACGGTTGGGGAAATTGTATCTGGGGCTTCACCCACCTCAATGAAATGACACAAGGATGCGCAAAGAGACGGAGAGATTGACATCCTCCGCAACACGACCTGGCAAAGAAGGCTCCCAAGCCCAGCTGAGTAGAAGGCTGTTGTAGGGTAAGTAGCAGCAGCAGCAGCAGCCGTGGTCGGAGTGGCAGACGTGGGAGCTGCAGAAACCGTTGCGCCCGTTGCGCCCGTTGCACCCGTTGCACCCGTTGCGCCCGTTGCGCCCGTTGCGCCCGCAACCGAATGATCAGCTGGAGCAACCTAGTTCATGGTCGGAGTAGTATTAAAACTCAAAAAATGCCTATTCCTTGTGGAGGTTTTTAAGTACCCTCCTTAAAAATGCAAAAGGTTACCCCCACTGTGACAGAGCAACAGCTGTAGGAGCAGCTGTGAGCGGAGCCGTGCTTGGCGTGCTGGGTCTGGGTGGCGACGTGGTCCTCTCCATCGTGGTGGAGCTGTGGCCGACAGATCTTGAGGTTGATCTCTCCTTGGTGGTTTAGGGTTTAGGGTTTAGGGTTTAGGGTGTTGAGGGGGTAGAGGCACACCAATTAAAACAGGGGGTAGATCTGCACACCAAAAAAGAGCCCTAGCAAAGCAGACCTTATATGACATAGACCCCCCAAACCCACCAAACCGTAGACCCTCAACCCCCCAAAAACCCAAAAACCCCCAAACCAAACGTCACCAAGAAAACTGCATCTTCCAACAGGGTTTAGGGTTTAGGGTTTAGGGTTTAGGGTTTAGGGTTTAGGGTAACTCTCAAGAGCTGGAGTTGCGACTCAGGCGGCGGTCTCCTTGGACGAGGAGAGGGTGGTCTGCGATGTGCTCGGAGCTTCGGTGGTGCCTGCCTGCTCGCGAAAGAAATCGGCCACTGAAACCCTAAACCCTAAACCCTAAACCCTAAACCCTAAACCCTGAACCCTGAACCCTTGAAAACCTGACGCCCCAACATGCAAACACTTAGAATCCTCAACGCCAAACGCTTGAAGCCCTAACAAGTGTCGAGTTGGTCTCGTTCTGGGTGGGTGGGTGGGGGGTTGCTGTGACGAAAAAACATCCGCAAAGGCCTGGCTTTCATCGCGAAAACTACACGGACCCATCGCCGTGCATGCTACTGCCTGCCCAGCATCCCGCCCCACCCCAACCCCCCCCCCCCCTCCCCAGGGTTTAGGGTTTAGGGTTTAGGGTTTAGGGTTTAGGGTTTAGGGTTTAGGGTTCCCCAGCTCCCAGCTACACATCACCTGGCTGAGCTTGTTCGTTCAGATGTCAAGTTGAAAAACCTCTAAGCTACACATTGCTTCGTGTGGGAAGGAAGGACAAGAATCGAAAGAACACACGGTTACAGGGATCACTTAACCTGGAAAATGTGTGGCAAGGCAGTACAAGGGCTTAGTTAGGTCAAACTGCGAGAACATGCCAGCTAAGACTAAGAGTCAACTACAAGTAGCAAGCGCTGGCAAATGTCATGTGGTTTAGGGTTTCGGGTCTAGGCTTCTCATCGACAAACATCTCTTCGCGTGATAAACTGGTTCCTCCGTCTTGAAATTCACACAAGGACCTTTAGATCATCCGGCAGACCCAAACTCGAAAACTCAGAAGCTACAAGCCCCTAAACCCTAAACCCTAAACCCTAATGCCCCAAAACCCCAAAGCCCTGAGATGATGCTCCAAAGTGCCTTGGTCGAAGGAGCTGCCGTTCGCCTCATCTCCTCCGCGGCGAAAAGGTAGGGGTCCACCTCTCCAAGCTGGAGTTTCGGCAGTGTAGGGTTTAGGGCGTTTAGGGTTCAGGGTTTGGTGTTTTAGGGTTGGGGAGTTTAGGGTTAAGGGTTTTAGGTTTTAGGGTTGGGGAGTTTAGGGCTTGGAGTTGAGGATTTAGGGTTTAGGGTTTGGGTTTAGGGTTTAGGCCTTAGAAGTGTTTAGGAGTTTAAGCTGTTGCGCTTTTGCGACTGTGTCTTGCCCCGCCTCTTCTGTGGTCGTTTCGTCTTCTCTCGTGAAGACTTGTTGTTTCATGAAGACGGTGTAGACGGGGTCATACCTGAGCAAGAGCAAAACTCCTCTTTACCGCTGTTATGAGTACGTCAGCTGCCACCACTCCTACTCCCACTCCCACTCCCACTCCACGACGACGACGACCACCTGCACCACTACCACTGCCACTACGATCACTACTAACACTACTGCTGCTGTGTTGCTACTGCTTGCTGATGCTACTGCTATTGCTAACTGCTACTACGTGATAGCGAGTACGATGAACTACGATTACGACTGGGTCTTATCGCTATGGCTGTTGCTGTGGCTGTTGTTTACCATTGAGACTACAATTGCTTTGATCTTGCTGTTGCTAGTGCGACGACGCGCCTGCCTATAAATCTGCTGGAGGGTTCAGTACCTGGGAACCACTCATGGTAGGGACCTTGGTTCGCATAGACCCCTTGTCAGCCACAATGACACCTTCTTGGATTCCAGCGGAGGAATCAAAGGTACCCTAAACCCTAAACCCTAAACCCTAAACCCCAAACCCTGAACCCTAAACCCTAAACCCTAAACCCTAGCATCTTGGGCTGCAAGGGCTTTTGCAAACGATTGGGATTTGCATCGGTCTGCGCTTTCCGGCTTTGCGGGTTTTGAGGCTGGTTAGGTTCTTCGTAGCCCAGTAACCATATTATTATAGTAAGGGCACCCCTTTTTTGGGTTGGTTACTTTACAAGGGAACCCTAAACCCTAAACCCTAAACCCTAAACCCCAAACCCTAAACCCTAAACTCTAAACCCTAAACCCTAAACCAACCAACCAAAAAAACAGGGTAAAGGGTACCACTGGGCTACCAAGGGTTTAGTTGCGGTGGCAGAGGCCCGAGGCTTCGCAGTTCCTAAACTCTAAACCCTAAACCCTAAACCCTGACGCCTAAACCCCACTCAGGTCTCCGGAGCGCCTCAGAAATCTCAAACGCCGTTTCGCTTCCTACCCTTGCAGCAAAAGGTGCACGAGGGAGCTCTCTTCACATCCCTCGCGTTTCCAGCACCTTTCTGGAATGTTAGGGTTTAGGGTTTAGGGTTTAGGGCTTAGGGCTTAGGGCTTAGGGTTTACAGACATACCTTCATACATACTTACATACTTACTTGTACATGCACGTGTATGTGTACTTGTATAAACATCTCTGCAGATACACACATGTCTATATACGTACGTAAACGTGGGTGCATATACATACATATATGTTCTCTCACCGTGTCTCGTGACTTAACGATTGCGGACTCTCGAATGCGGCTGCTTCAGGTTCTCAACAAAGCCACTTCGACCATCATATGGGTGATTCCCCAAATAGTGGTGTAATTACCCCCTTGATACCCCACATTGAACAGAACCCCCTTAAGGAGGTACAGCTATTTTCGGAAACCCCCATGTCTAAGGACAAGACCTCGTTATAAGACCTCTGTAAACCAAGTCAGCCCACGATCAAAGGATAACCTGCCCACAGAAACAGTTTTGTTATACTTCTCGAATGATGTGGCGATGCTAAGCCCTAGGCAAAGAACCTATACTTTAACCAGGGCTTATACTTTAACAAAGTGATGCCAAACAGGAATACAGTCGAGCCTGTATGTGCCATCGATTGCCCACACACTGCAGGCGCAGTTGGAATCCACTGTGCACCTGTCCTGGCACTCCTTGTAGGAGGCGACCTTGCCACACAGGATCACAAAGAAGATGGCGCTGTTTAAACGCACAACCTAGCAACGTATGCTGTCACAACACACTGCTCTTCAAGGGTTTCGGGTTTAGGGTTCTAAACCCTTTTTTTAGAACCCTAAACCTTAAACTCTAAACCCTAAGACACATGTGCAACGCCTTGCACAAGCGTGGGCAACAGCATAGTGGCATAGTGCGTTCAAAGTGGCCACTGCAGGTTCGCCACCTGACAAGTGGAAGTTTAGGGTTTAGGGTTTATTATTTGGGGATGGAACGAGCCTCCCAATCTTAGGATTCATGTGTGCCATGCCTCGATCAATGTCCCTGGAGCCAACACTCTTGTAGGTGTTGTAGCGCCTGTACCTCAAGCAACAGGCGCTCTGAGCTCCGGTGGAGAGCTCTTGGGTGCAATCCATTGTCAACAAGAATCCGGAAAGCGAGCACGTTTTTCAGCCAAAGCACTCCTTATACTTCGGCCGGCTGCTGGGAACTTTCATCAGCATGAGCCTTGCTGCAGGTGCAAGGGGACTGCGTCGCCCTTCAGCCTGAAACACCCCCACTGAGCCCCGAACTTCCGAAAAACCCTCGGAGCCCTCGAAAGCCCGAGCCAGGCGCCTCAGGCGCTCTCAGCAACTCCTCCAAGATTCAACCCTAAACCCTAAACCCCTCAACCCATCGATTTCTTGTGCTCTCAGCCAGGAACTTCAGAAAGAGTACCTTTAAATCGGACCTTAGGATGATGCTCGCAGCCGTTGAGGAGGCAACTTCGGGCTGTTTCAGGGCAATAAAGGGAGGGTAGTAGGATTGGGTGTCCTTGAGTCATGGGTTTAGGGTTTAGGGTTTAGGGTTATCTATAAAGTGCCGTAAAAAGCCATCTGCGTAAGCGGGCTTCTTGGCCCCCCGACGTCTCGCTATCCTTCACGAAACTTTCTGGATGCCTACGGCAGCCTCAGCGGGGCAAGGGGTAGAGTAGGCGAGTCTGGGACTCGTTTTGTGCGTAGGCATATTTGCTGACTAAAGGGTTTCGCCAAGCCCCCCCCCCCCCCCCCCCCCCCCCCCCCCCCCAGGTGATATTGTTGCTTACAACGCAGTGGAAGCTCAAGTCCTATATCGAGTCATTCCCAAAGTCATTGCAATATGACTTGTTATAGCTGCTCTCGCCTCCCGGAACCTCCGGTGCAACAGGACTGCGGGTAAAACGAGAAAACCACATCTGGGAGAAGAAGCCCACAGCCCGAATGTGAGGAGCTGGCAGGGAGGGGGGCATGGCTTCCAGTTGCATCCGGCGGACTGGTTCAAGTTTTATTGTATGTATATATATATATATACTGTTTGTAGAAACACTTATATAGATACAAACGCCCACCAGCAACGGCCAGCCTTTGACCGAAACCTGACAAACGTACATAGCAAGCCGGCTCAGAACCACACACGTTATAAACCTTCTACTAAACCCTAAACCCTAAACCCTAAACCCTAAACCCTAAACCCTAAACCCTTACCCCTAAACCCTAGCCCAATTCCACACCTTTCCTGCTGACTCCGCGGGTCCCCTCTCCTACAGTCTAACTGACCTCCTAAACCCTAAACCCTAAACCCTAAACCCAAACCCTAACCCTAAACCCTAAACCCTAAACCCTGATTGCCAGGGATGCTGGCCCTTCCATCGCTGACAGCTCCTGGCGTGAGCGCAATCAGGGTTTAGGATTGGGAGCTTCCCACTTATACTAAAGGTCCTTCAAAGGGATTCGAGTACCCCCTGCTATAATCCCCACTAAGGACTGTTAGTCTAAGGGGGAGCATCCCAACTTAGATGTGCCCCTAAACCCGAAACCCTAAACCCTAAACTCCCTGGTTTTCACTTCAGGCTCTGCCTCCGGGACCTCGGAATTCCCGCTCAGAAGACACCACAGCCAAAACACTAAACCCTCGAGCTGCCAGACACCACACCCCAACATGACAACCCTAGAAACCTACCAAGGGTTTCGGGTTGAGGCCCTAAACCCTAAACCCTAAACCCTAAACCCTAAACCCTAAACCCTAAACCCTGAACCCTGAACCCTAAACCTACAAACCCTCCCCCTCCCCCCCGCCCCCCCGCCCGCCCCATGGCTCAATCCCACCTCTCTCTCGGCCTGTAAGCTGCGCACTGGCAGCGGCCATCCTTGGGTCGCGTCGCTTTTCTAGGGACTTGGAGGGTTTAGGGTTTAGGGTTTAGGGCTTAGGTTTTTGTTTAACTTCTAGGGCTGGGTTGAGGGTCTAGGGTTAGAGGGTGTAGGATTTCGGGTTCAGAGATTTTAGGGTTCTAGGGTTTGTAGTGTTGGAGGGTTGTGGTTCAGGGGATTCAGGCTTGAGGGATGAAGGGATTCAAGGACGATTTAAGGTCTTTAGGGACTATAGGGTTTAGGGGTTTTGGTTTTCTGGCTTAACCGTCGGATTTGTGGAGTTTGCACGGCTTGATGGCGCTTGTAGGGCTGCTTGTGTGTCAGGGCCTACGGAGCCCGTCGGTTTGAGGCGTCATGTTGTCTGGCCAAGCACCTCTGCACGCATCGACTACTCCTCTAACTCTCCCCCTTTTGGTTTGGGGCGCCGCCTCAATAGGACAAACAAGGCAACTTTACCCCCCAATGCCCAAGTTGTCTTAGAATCCTATTGTAGGCCAGGCCAAGAGAGGCACGAAACTCAAAGCGACCCGAACCCCATGCTGCTTGCAGCCAGGGGTCTTGATCACCTTGGGCTTGCGGCGCATGCTTTTGTTGCTTTGCGGTGTCGGGTCCGGGGGTAGAATTCGGCCCCTCATAAAAGTCGGAGGTGTCTTACAGTTGACCAGAATCCCCTAACAGAGCTTCGGCACAAAACCTTCCTGAAGAACTAGGTTGATACTAAGGGGGAACTGCTATAAGCTATACCATATTCCACGGGCCTGCTTGGCAACATCTTAGGCGCTTCTTGGGCGTCGTTCACAGTGCAGGAGATGGGGGTTTCCAAGAGGAGTTGCGGGGCCAGGCCCTTTAAGCAGTTCGAGAAGGACCCTCGTATAAGTGGTTGAGGGTTCTAAGGCATCACCTTGGTTGTGGCAAGGCGCATGCATCCATGCACGCCCTCTCGAAAGGCACGGTGAAGCCCTGGGGGGCCAGGCTTCGGACGTGTTCAGGGAGGGGAAAAGCAAAAAACCTCCATAGGGCTCACCGTGATTTGGACTCGCAGCCGTATTTCACACACCCGAAAGTCGCGGAGCCCTCTGAGATCAGTCTTGCGTTGCTCAGCGCCGTCCTAAACCCTAAACCCTAAACCCTTCTTGCAACTGGACTCCTTGCTACCAGGATGCCGAAACTCTTCCTAGAAGAGTCGCAGAGCACAGGAAAAGCGAGCACGCACACAGTGCAAACCCTAAACCCTAAACCCTAAACCCTAAACCCTAAACCCGTGGCAGCATTCCGGCGCCTCGGATTCAAGGGGCTCCTCACCATGTTCAGGATGGTAATGGATTCGCTCACCTTTGTGAACCTTGGTGGGTGTTTCGCAAGGAAGCTCTCTCTTGTGATTCCACCGGTGGCGGCAGGGTTTAGGGTTTAGGGTTTAGGGTTTAGGGTTTAGGGTTAGGGTTTAGGGTTTAGGGTTTAGGGTTTAGGGTTTAGGGTTTAGGGTTTAGGGTTTAGGGTACAGCGCCCTGCCGGCTTGATCAGCTGGGGCGGCGGCGTAGTACCTGTGCTCCTCACCAGTGTCCTGCGTCACCAGGCGTTGGACATGTCCACCCCCTAAATTAAACCCTAAACCCCAATGAATAAGCCCAATGAATAAGCCCAAGAAATCCCGGTTGGCCCCGGGAAAGCAGATCCCAATCCTACAGCAGGGTTCATGGTGTCAAGGAATGAACTCCGAGAGGATTGCATGTCAACGTGCAGTGAAAGGATTGCATGTCAATGTGCAGTGCGAAGGAGGGTAAGTCAGAATGGGCGGTGCGCTTTGTTGGCATCCGCTGCAGGTTCCGCCGGAAGCAGCCCAACTATGCCCAAACACGTCTGTGGAAAACTTGATCTCCTCTGTGCTACGATATCAGAATCCAAAAACTATTCACATAACGAATGCTTAAACCATTTGCTACTAGAAATAACTGCATTATTCAAAACTACAGAAAGAGTCAAATGCCCCAACCCATGTCTTGACAGACTTATTGCATAGCCGTGGAAAGCCATTTGAATTGCCACATGCCTGCCAGCCAGCCGAAAAGCAACACGACTTGGGCCGGTGCTTGAAGGAACTCTCCACAACGAGGCTAACTTTATCCTAAACCCTAAGGGGTTTGGGTTTCAGGGTATAGGGCCCTAAACCCTATAAGCCCCAAACCCGAATACAAGCCCAAGCCCCTGAATCGACGCCAAAACCGGTTTAGGGTTTAGGGTTTAGGGTTTAGGGTTTTCACCAACCATCCTCGGGATCATAGGCGCCGTAGCTTCCGAAGGAGCTACCCGCTGATTGCCAGCTCCTTCTTGGGCTTTGTTTTAGGGTTTAGGGTTTAGGGTTTAGGGTTTAGGGTTTAGGGTTTAGGGTTTAGGGTTTAGGGTTTAGGGGTCAGGTATCCTAGGGAACTAAAGGATAGCCTTTGGGATTCTATAGGGATTATCATACCCCCGAAAAGGTGAAAGAGTACCAACTCTGCGACTTATGTGGGGGTCTTGTAATGTCTGGTGGCTTCTTGGGGGGTCAGCTTCTTTCAGAGATCGGAAGTTGTGTGGGATAATGGGGCTAGAGTGACTATAGGGACTTCGGATGCTTGGGCAATTACAATTAGGCCAATTCTCGCTTATCACCGCTTGGAGCAGAAACACGCGCAGAAAACAAAAGCAGCAAGAAACCAGAAGGGACCATTATTTTCACCCTTTGGAGCTAAACAAAAGCGCACAAAAAAAGGAACACGGAAGAATGGGTTCAGGGTCGAGGGCTTCCGGGCCCTGACAGGAACTTGGCAGTTTCGCTGAGCTCCAAAACACCCAAACCACGAGGCCAACACCCCACACCCAAACCCTAAATCACCACGGGACCCTAAACCCTAAACCCTGAACCCTAAACCCTAACCCTAAACCCTAAACCCTGAACCCCCAACATCTGCCAAGGCTCTCAGCGTCCCAGACCCCTACTCCCTGCTGCGTGGCGCTGCAGGTGTGCAGTGCCAAAAGCACTCTCCACACCATCCCTGCAGGGCTGGGCCCTGGAGGGTTGTTTTGTTACGGGTGTTTAGGTTCTTTTTTTGGGGGGTTCTTTAGGGTTTTGGGGGTTTTTGTCGGATTTTCATAGGCGGCAGGTCCAGGTGATGCCTGATATTCAACCTGCCACTCAGCCTACTAGTTGCCCGAAGCACGCTGGCACTCGTCTGAAATTCCATCTCAGCTGGTTCTCTGCAACGCAAGGATGCCAAACAAAGACTCAGAATTTTAGGGTCCCTGTTGTGGCTTGTCTTGTTCCAAGCCTGCCCCCTTGAATTTCGTGCACTAAGATAAGAGAAAGTCCGGCCTCTACCTCCAGATTTGTCCTGTCAACCGGATCATGGCACTATCCGGGACCAAGGAGAAATGCAGCTGCGGCGTGCAGCAACTTCATGTCCAATCTGCCAGCCCCGAGACATGCTCAAGGCAGGCAAGAGAAGGAGAGAGGGCACAGGCAACACGAAGAGAGAGGGAGCAGCATGCAACTCTGGCAGGGCACGGGGAAGGAGGCCAAAGGCTGGTGCCTCCAGGAAACCGGCATCTTTATCGGAGCTCCCAAAAACCCCCCTCATGCACGTTGAACCTATGCCTCCCTCCTTAGGAACCCTTGAGTTAAGCCCCTGCAGAGACCCTCACTAAAACCCCAGAATGCAATTCTAAGCCCAAAAGCTCCGACCCTAAAAGGCGGACGTTTGCAACCGTGCCCTGAAGAGCTCCTCCCGATCGAGATCAACCCAAGACCCGAGAATTCATAAGCGCACGTCCCATAAGTCACTTAAGCCCCAAGAGCCCTAAACCCTAAACCCTCAAACTTAAACCGCAACACCAAAACCGACTAAGGTGGGGTTTCTGGTGCATGCCTCGAGCCCGAGCCCCCAATCGATACTCTTTTCTCTCCCCTAGGCATCCTAGGTAACCTTGCAAACGTAAACCCCCACTATACTGAACTTGGAACCCGAGCAAAACTTACAATTTTAGAGTTATAGTTTAGGATGCTCCCCCCTACACCAACAGACCGTGACAGGGATTCAAGTACCCCGATTATAATCCCTATTACGGACTGCTAGTATCTAGTACCCAAAAATGAGCCACTATTCCGAGGTATCCCTAAGCCCAAGGTAGCCAGAGGAGATTGCAAAAACTCTAACTTTAGGCTTTTCTTAGGAATGACAGTATCCAAAATTCACTGCTATTCCCAAGTCTCCCGAAGCCCAAGGTAGCTACTTGGAGGTTCATGGTATTTATTAACCAATTATATATCTGTACTTATAACCCACTTATAACCCACTTCTAAGCCCCTTACGTGCCCTAATAGGGCTATAAGTACAGTTATAAGTACAGCTATAATTTGATAAGAAGTACCATGAACCTCCAAGTAGAGGAGATGCTGGTGGTTCGGAGCCCCCCCGGGGGCGATGCCGTGCCAGGCCGCGGGCCTTTTGGGGCTTGGGGTTTGGGGGTTTTAGGGGCTGGGAAGAGGGTTTAAGTAGGTTTAGGGGTTTAGGGCTGCCTTTTTTTGTTGGGGGGGGGGGGGGGAGATTTTGGGCCGGGCTTTCGAATTTTCATACCCTTCAGATAAAGACCTGGGGTTGCAGGGTAAGGTCAAAGTCTTGTCTAGATGGGAATGGAACCCCCAACAGTCACCGCAAGTTTGAGAAGCCGCCGAAATGGGTGTAGGCATCGGATGCCCTTAAGCTTAGGTGCTTTAGACAGGGAACGTGTCTTGTATGTCAGGCTGTTTGAGTCGAGGACAGACAGTGCATGTTCCCGTGGTGAGGCCCAGGACGGACACCCTCTAGACACCCAAAACCGTCGACCCGACATGTTGTCTGAGGACCCGACGCAGCACGACATGTCATGGCGCTCGCGCAGGGCTGTAGACGATGTTGCGGATAAGGCTAGCTATGGACTCTACGCCTATAGGTCTAGCTTCATCGGGAATACAGTTCGGAGAGGCATGTTGGCCTTCTTGAATGTTGAAATTGATTGCAAATTGTTTGGGTACTGTGTGCAACCAGCTCCTACTTCTGAGGGCGGCGCAAAAGGTAAACCGAGAGGTGCACGAAGAGGCCAGTGTCTAGCAGCAACTGGTAGCACAACAGCCGATATGACCGGACGCTGAGTGGCCACCTATGCCGCCTGTGTATGTATGTATACGTATATGTCTATGTATATGTATACGTATATGTATATGTATATGTATATGAATACGTATATGTATATGTATGTGTATTTAGATTTGTATCTGCAATATGTGTGTATATCTATATATGTATATATATATATCTCTCTCTCTCTCTCTGTGCGTGTGTGTGTGTGTGTGTGTGTGTGTGTTTGGGTGCTTCTGTGTGTGTGTGTGTCTCTATGTGTGTATACGTGTATCCTAGGCCCTGGACAGGGCAGCGCAGCAACCTACTCTGGCCGTCCTGACCTTGCCTGGAAATCTCGGAAGCTTTCTTGGGAGGCCCTCCTTCCCCTCCGCCCTTTTCAGGTCTTCTATAGGGCTTATAGGGTGTTATAGGGATTTAGAGGGTGTTATAGGGCGCTACGGGGTTTTGTAGGGTTTATGGTTTTTTGTTTAGGGGTTCGTAGGGTTTGTCGGGTTTTTAGGTGACAAAGCTATGTTCTAGGAGGGCAAACACAAGGTGCACACCAAGCGAATTCGAAACTCAGGGGAACAGTGGTCGACACGGCTCCCCAGACTCTTGTTTCTAGCGCGCGGCTGCGCAGCCTCCGCTCAATGCGCACGAAGGTCTCTGTACAGGCGTGCCAGGGACTTCGCAAACAAAAGAGCCATTTTTCGGGGTGTGTAGATCCAATTGTAGAACTTCAACTCTGAACCTACATGAACAGCGAAATGCACTCGCGCATGCTGCTCCGTATAAAATCGGGAAGGACGTTCAAGAAAAAAACTCAGCTCCAGCTTGGCAGGTGGCAAACTTATCAACAGCCGTTTCGTATTTAATTCCGAGCATTCTCAAACACATGACTCGATACGAATATGCTCATCGAGGAGAAGTCCACGGCCGCACCATGGCAAACATTTCAGCAGCTTGGCAAGCTGGCAAAGGGATGCCACACGCCGAGCGCAGGTTGACTTCTGGGGGACCAAATCAACCCTTGAACTGCGAGCATATACCGCGTACGGCATCCTTTTTTGGGGTTTATGGACCAAAAAACCCTTTTAGGGCTCATTCAGTCTGCTTGGGATGTGGTGAGCGGGAGGGTGTGGTGGAGGCTCTGGTGGCAGTGCTGGGGCTGGGTCTGTTCTCCCTGACACAACCCCAAAGACCTAAATGAAGTGAGTCGCTTTCCGAGGAGTCCCCACGCAATAAAACCCTTCTTCTATGTAAGCTGCGTGCGAAGGGCTGCAGGTACTGTCTGGCCCAGGAAGGCCCAAAGCCAATGTCAAGTAACTTTAGCCGGATCACTATAACACAGTATATATATATATGTGTGTATATATATATACATATATACGTATAAATATAGAGTATGCAAAACATTATTAATGTATATATGCATGTATAAGCGTAGCATAGCATTCTCAAAACTTCTGGATGCCAACCGCAACTATCAGGATCGAATACAGAGACTTGAGCCACTTCCATACATTACCCATCAAAGCCTACGGACCAGTCTCCAAGGTAACACTTCAAAGCTGGTGCGAGGCCCTTGCGCGCCTTAGCAGCCTAGCAGGTTGCTATCCAAAAAAAAACCATTGGCTTCAAGCATTTGGGGGGTTAGGGTTTAGGGCCCCAAATAGTAGGATCCCTTGTAATAAGGACCCCAATAAGGTACCCCTAATTTTTCTGGTGGGTGGGGGGCTGGGAGGAGGTCTAGCATTTTGCTGTGAAATTTCTTTAAACCCTAAACCCTAAAACCTAAGCGTCCCTAAACCCTAAATTTCTTTGGGATTTAAGGGTTCATTTCCTACCATACCGACCATACCTGCAATCGTACTCAAGTCACGGGCTCGTCTGCGTGGGCCACCTCCCCACATGCTACACAAAGGGGTTTAGGGTTTGGGGGATGGGGTTTAGGGGTTTAGGGTTTAGGGTAACCCGACACGCTGCCTCGCAGGTACCACATCACGCGCCAGACACTGCAGCGGTCTGAGTTTTGGTCCATGGTCATCCTACAACAAAAGAACCAATTACCTAATCCCTAAACCTAAGCCAAATATGAAGAAAAAACTTGTCGCGTCAGCTTTCTTCGGGCTTGCAAGTTTCGTGGGCCTGCGATGGCAGGGCGCTAAGTCCTACAGTTGAGGTGTTTGGGGTCTCCGGGTGTACGGGTTTGAGCCCTGACTAATGTGACTTGGCTGCTGCCTCCACAGCTACTACCTAAACCCTAAACCGTAAAGCCTAAAGGAATAGTACTTCGGGCTGGTATGGTTTCAGGCGAATGCGGTGCTTCGATGGTTACATGAACCATAGACCCGAAAAGGATGGGACGTAGGAGAGCCGTAGGAGTCACGTATGAGAGACGCCGGTGTTCGCGGCGTGACTAGGAGCTGAGGTTTGGGGTTTAGGTCTAAGGACCGTATTGGTTCTTTCTTCGGGTTCGGGCACTGGTAAGAGGATGGGCGAAGGTCCCGCCTGAGGGGGAGAGAAGGGGGAAACTTAGGGTTTAGGGGAGAGGACCATGAGGTTCCGTTGTGCCGTATTCCGACCCGAATAAGCAAGGTGCTCCAAACAACGGGCGCGTGATGAAGGAGCGACAAAGTACCCAGCCACGCCTGAAAGTCGCTGCCCAAAATGCAAAATCGACTACCCCAAATACCAATACCCAGTCTAATTGCGATACGCAGCCCCTCCACTACAGATCCTTGCGTCAGGCGTTCCCTGGGAGACTTCCGTCCCTGCAAGCCAAGAAGATGATGCTTTCCAGGCTCGGACAACCCTTTCTCGAACACCTAAACCCTGGAACCTACACCCGAATCCCTATACCCGACACCCTAGTCAGCTTTAAACTCACCAGTTGGC